AATTTCCTTTTCTCTTTTAATACCTCAGAAATGTTATCAACTGCACCTACTAAACAAGTAACATGAAATGAAGTCTAATTTTGAAGGTAGATAAGGGAAGAAATCAGAAAAAGTTGTGTTTTGTAGTCATCACCATTCCTACAAGATCCACGGGGTTCTGGCACTTCAACAACAGATACATTAGAAAGAAAACCTTTTGTGTTGCATATGCTCACTTTATCCAGTATCACTCAAATTTCCCTGAAATATGAACTCCTAAAAATTGTCTAGCTACATCTTTGTACAAAGTACAGCATGTTCCTCTTTCTTCTTTTAAAAAATTAATACTTCCTGTAGTTGTTATCAGTGCATATAGATTAAAATACTGTTACTTATTTATACTCTGTGGGGTTTTTTGGTTTTTTGTTTAGGGAACTTCCAATAATTCAATTTACCATTCCTGAGACTAAATTTTTACTAGATTCAGATTTCTACTTTTATCCCAACTTCTGGCTTGTAAAAACACTATGAAAAGTCATAATTAATGATAAACCAAGAGATATTCAACTTGTTTCCTTCTGAAGAATCCAGATTCACATTCCTACTGCAAGAACTTCTCCCAGCACTTTTTGCAGAAATCTCAGAGATACAGAGTAATCCCCTCGTATTTGCAGTAATCATTTTATTTCTTCACAGTAGACCTTGTCCCTGAACTATTGTAGGATGAGAAGAATGTGCAGTTCAGGGGCCCATATAAGTCCTATATTAACTTCACATGCAGTTAGCATCCCCCTGAAGCCTGCAAAAGGAGACTGCTCAAAAGGAGGTTGATGAATGTGAGAAACATCATAGTTAGGTAATTCATTATGCAAGCAGTGTACATAGTTGGTATCTTGGCAAAAGTGACTGGCTGAAGAAATTAGTTCATATGCTTAAATTAAATATGTTTAAATGAAATCTTTAACAGTTGCATAATTTGCATTTCAGTATTGGCTATATCCATCAGCGCAGAGCAGTTCTTGTCAAACATTTCGGATGGCAGTATGTGGAGGTGAGGAATGAGATCGGAGGTTGGAGAGAGAGACCCAGCAATAATCCATTCCTGTCACTCACTTTAACAGAAGTGGAGAGCACAATCAGGAAGCAGGATCCTGGGCACCACTTCTGGAGTAGCTGCTTCCTCTGCATTGGTGCTTGGTGAACCCAGAAAGCTACTCCCAGCTCCAAAGAGGGGCCATCTGGGAGAGTCTGGAGTGCTAAAGAGGAAGGGACGCCAACTGGACTCTCCACTCAGAAGATGCATCTGATCAGCTACAGCAGAGAGCAGCCAGCCAGATACGCATGATCAGAGGATGGTTGTGTGAAGCCAGTGCCAATCCAACTTCCCTGCCATGACCACTGGGACTCCTGGGGCCAATACCTGCTGAAGGAGAATACGGTCATATGTGGCTGGGAAGGGGCAGGGGGAGCCCAGCAGAGAACTGGCCCTGGAGGCTTTTTTTCTCCTTTCCTCCCCACACCTTACCAAAGGACTGCAGAAAAGCCTCACTTCTGGAGGCCAGTAAGCAGTTAAGGGGAAGCAGCCCAAACAGGGTTAGCCTTCCTTGTGGAGGACTGTGGTTCTAGCTGCAAGGGAAACACTTGTGGCAACTTTATGGACCTGGGACACAAAAGACCCTGGGACCCAGGTCAGAAAAAGTCCATTCCCAGCATGACAGCAGGCTCAGAACCACAGAGAGGCTCTGGCTGCTGTTGGACTGTTTGTTTTGAATTGTATCATTTCTTTTGGGTTTTTTACCTCTGGGGACTCAAGACTCTTGGGTATTGGGACCTGGTAGCTGACCCAGATGACACAGAGCCCAGAGTTGGGGAAGACTTATCTTGGCATTACAGCCCTGGAGTGGCTTATCTTGGCATTACAGCCCTGGAGTGGCCAGTCCATGCTTTGCATGAGTAAAAGGAATTGAGATGAATCCTGATACAGAGGGATATGAGGGTTGAGAAGATTGTGGTTGAGGAGAGTCTCACATCCCCATCCTTCCCTTCTAGGGATTTTAAAAATCTGGCTAACATCAAAGGAAGTGGTTAGGGTAGGGTGCAGGGGAGGCAGAGCCCCATGACAAGACCAAGGTCATTGGTCTAGAGTGTCACTCATAAAACGGGAACTGGCTCCCAATGAAAGATAATATCAAAGTCATGGCAGGTGAGAGGGCAATCACAGAACACCTTGGTAACACTCTCCTATGACCTCACCCTGTCATGGCGTATTAGAAGGACATCCAGTTGGAAGTGGCCTAGGCCTTATAATACCTCCCAGTGACACAGTAGCATAACTATGGTATACAGGCACCCACCCTGGGTGCCAACTAAGGGGGCACCAGGATCCACCCCACTGTCTTTTCTATTACAGAATGTCAGTACTGTCCCTGGCCATAGGAGTCAGGTATGGCAATGCTGCAACAGATAGTCAATTAGTGTATCTGAGGGGCTGGGGGAAAGATAAGTAAAACAAACAGAATGGTATTCCCCTCCTTCCTACTCTCTCCACCCCACCAGGAGCATTTGAAGAAGTAGGGAAAACCCAGTAGGAGCTGGGCAGGGCAGGACAGTACTGCACCAAACAGTGTATCTGGGGAACAGTAGGAAAGTGTGATGAGCAAAATGATGCTCCTCCTCCCCCATCAGAGGCACTCAATGAGTGCTCTACACCACTGTCAGATGGAATACCATTTTGTTGTTACTTATACCCAGCTTCCTTCCCATATCCATGGAGCCCAAATCACACAATGATAAATGAATGTCTATAAGCCTAAGTGACAAAATGATCCTGCTATTGTGCCCACTATGGAGATAAAGAAGTATGAAGAGGGAGAGTATATAAGGTTATAGTTAAATTGCTAGCTTAAAGAACAACTGACAAAGAATCAGAAAGAAATGATGTCCTGTTACCACTGTGAGTGATGCAGATTCTATAGATCAGAATCTAGGGAGGAAACTAGAAAGATGTGCCGAAGATTGCATTAGGAACGAGTGGACAATAACATTGGGGTGAACAATTTTGGTGGAGTGAAGTGAGTACAGTCCAGACTGGAGGGGTTTCGTTGAACAACTGTTCAATGAAAAAAGGTGAAAGTGATTAAAACAAATAAGATTAAATATTAATTGGAGAGACATTTTTTATGATCAAAGGTTTATTGACAAATTTGGGAAACATGAGGATGGGAGAAATTAGAGTATTTGTGTTCTTGTTAGAAAAAAGAGAGAAAGAAGTGTGAAAGATAAAGAGCAAAGTAAAGGGAAGAGATAAAGGCAGACTGAAAGTTAAAAGCTATGAGGGGAAGGGGAAAAGGAACAGATGGATTAAAAACAAAATAATGAGCATGAGTTCCTGGGCATAATGACAGGGTAAAAGAATATGAAAGTGCCAGAGAGGAAGAATGAGTAATACTAATTATGGGAAAAGAAGAGTAAAATGAGGAAGTAACATGAGCACAATGGGAACAGACTTGAGGGGGGAGTTCTGGATGTTAGATAAACAATGTGAACACAGTATACCCAGAAAATCAGGGATTTCTGCATCTTGTCCTGTTCTGCTCATCTATGATTTTTTTGAAAGACCATAGGCATTTCCTTCCCCATACTGGAAAAGGACCTTAGATATTGCAATCAAGTTTAGTACACATATTTTCTTCTGATGGTAGTTGTGTATCTTTTGAAGCAAGCGTAAAAATACAATATTAAACACATATGTGCACACACCTACCTTTATGTAAAAATAGTCATTTCCCTTGCAGATATCCAGTGTCCAGGGACACTTTAGAACATTTTTCAAAATCCCTTTTATAAAGGGAAAAAAACCCTTTAAATCCTTTTTTGAAAAGAAATTCAGCCTTCCTAAAACCCAATGAGCTACAGTTTTAATGCTTATTTTACAATTATTTTCTCATTCAAACCATGCCTTAACTGTTCACATTTCTAAATCCTTAGATTACTATTAAAAACTAAAAAAAATAACATCTTCCCTCAAACAAAATTATGTTTCTGTTTGTGCTTAGGAGTAATCAAGATGCATGTGCTTTTGATTGTGGGGATGAGGCAATTATTCTCAGCATTGAAGAGATATAAGATTAATGGAAGATCTTTTATTCATACAACTACTGCATTGGATGGAATGCCTTTGGCTTCAGATTGGGTCACAGGCTCCCCAAATTTCTTGCTATGCTTTTGTATGGTATTCAGCATATTAGAGAATCTAGGATGTACCTCAGTATAAATAATAACATAGTCTCAAAATGTAGTGACAGTGTCTCAGTTAGTTCCCATGACCCATACCATGAGTTCAAAATGCATGTTCTAAAACTCTAGTTCAGTCATCAGATGCATAGAGGCATCACATGTACTTTCTCTATTTTAAAACAAACATTTTTTTCTGTCAGTTTGTCTCTCTCTCTTCTTTAATTACCAAGGATCTTTGTCTCCAGCTATGTAACTAAAACAAATCAAAATAAACCCTTAAGTACATTTTCTTGCAACCACAATGAATGACTTGGTTTCAACCACTCTTTTTCTTTCTTGAGAGCTCCAGCATGAAGGATGACAAATCATCTCAAATAATACTTAATCTTTAAAAAGTATTTACAAGAAACCAATGCCCTCTAGAATAAAAGAAAGCACTTAACGTGGCAGACCATGATTCAGGGGAAGTAATAAAAGGGAAACGCAGCTTGAATTGCAATATTGCTGGATAACTTACAACTCTCTGCTGAAGGCAGCAGACTTGCAGTTACTGAACTGCTAATCTGTTCTACTGTTTTTTAATCAGATGTTGGCATTATCTGCCACTAATTGCTTTTTCATTTCCACTTGTAATTATTCCATTGCATGTTTGTGGTGAGAAGCTGAAAATGAAGCAGATCACCGAGAAAGAATTAATTGTTAATGAATAATTATCAGTAGGAAGCCAATTTCATTATCTTCAAAGAGGTAGCCAGAGATTAACTACTAACTGAGGTTCTCCTACTTTCTGTGCATGACTGTAAAGTAATCACAAGTAATCACACCCTCCAACTTCATCAATTATTTTCTATCATGTGAATTGATACCCATTTTTGTCTTTGTTGTTTAATGTTAATGGTAGTATTCATGCTGGGGAGTGCTAATTGGAAGGTGTTACATTCAGTGGGGTTTAGGCCTAATTATTAGAGCATCTTCTTCATTAGGATATGATCCTACGAGGGTTTCATGGTGGAAGTTACTAAATATACCATGATGTATGAACGTTATCTTTATTAACGAATTGTAGGTATGTTAGATGGTTAAAATATAATGGAGGTATGCAGAACAGCTTTATCAATCATAAACAAACATATCTATATATCTTTTTAAAACTCACTATCATTAGTTGTCTGGTGAGGAATTCTGCTTAAATCAACAGACTGAAAATAAAAGCACTACATGGGACTTAAACAGTAAGTATAATAAAAATAATCTGTTATATACAAAAGAGAAACACCAAAACAAAACATCTGTCTCATCATTATTGCACAGATTTTGGATCCACTGAGAATTTGTTGACTGCCAAAGCTTTTCTCTTCAGCTTTGCTACTGATTTTGTTCAGTCTGTTGAGTTACCAAAGGTAGCTCTAAAGAGTCACTAAAGTAAAGGAGGGTGAGCTCCTCCTGCTTGTTCCTCAAGCTCCTGGCATTTG